TGAAGATAATTCAGAACGAATTTTTCCAACAAATTCTGTATCTTAACAGGTTTATTTTGAATTTCTAACTACTTGAAATTTCTTCATTTAAATGTCTAAATAATAAACTTATGGCACCTTTTCTAAGATTTTTTGATTCTCTTGGCACCCCACCCCCACACCCCCCCCCCAAAAAAAAAAAACACACAAAAACGAATACTTTTTTTTTTTTTTAAATTGACAATTGATCTTTATGCCCACCCCAAAACACGCCGAGTGGCACGTCGGGGATGTCCCTTTGTCAGGATAGCCCCCACCGGAGTCTGCTCGACCAGGTCTCCGCCAGGGGCCGTCCTAACCCAAAGACACCCGGTCGGTCCGACACTGTGTTTGCACACAGTGCACACGATAGACTTTCTCAGGAGTCGGGATAATAAAATTTACGTCTTAATATCTTCCCCCACCCATCCCGGGGAACCGTTAGACGCCCTATAAGAGGGATTCTACGGTGGGTTTCCACAACGCAACTAATTCGCGATGCAGCTGGGACGAATTGGTTGCCTTGGAGCAGCTTCTCAGGGCTGCGTAGAAAGAATCATCTGCCAGAGGTCACCACCTTCGCCTCTCGCCTGGATTATAATGTAGTATTATTAGAAAACTGTATAGCGAAACAATGAAGTCATCCACAAGTCGAATGGAAAATGGCCACAACAGTTTTTACGCCATTTTTCGATATTCGCAAAAGGTGTGAGCGACTGAGTTTCATTAGTACCTGAGGCAATTTTTACCTCAAATAAATGTTTTTAAAATTTATTAAATAAAGATATTTTTAAAATTAGAATTTTTTTTTTAATTTTAAAAAAAAAAACGCAACGGCACAAGTTTTTTTTGACACCCACCCCCCTTTAAAGTGTCACAAATTCTAAAATATTTTTAAAATTTAAAATTTTTTTTTAATTTAAAAAAAAAAAAACGCAAAGGCACAAGTTTTTTTTCACCCCCACCCCCCTTTAAAGTGTCACAAATTCTCGACCACCCCCCCCCCCCCTCTTTGAGAGTGACGTAATTTTCGATCGACCATTAACAATACTCTCAGCAAAATGTCTCTAGAAGCGTGTGGCCCCCCTAGAGCCATGAGAACCCACTAAAGGCAAAAGGCCCCCGAGAGGTGTGAAGCCCTATGCAAATGCCTTCTTTGCCCATGCCTTAAGAAGGCACTGTTTAGGAGTTATAAAACATTTACTCCACTTCTTTGATTCCTATTGATGTTCGTTCTTAGGACTGACAACCTCAGACCAGGACCTCCCCCATACTAAAAATACCCAAAGAGTGTTCTAATTCTATCGCTCCTATCTTTGCGCCACTGCCTGTCCTAAACACACGACGGTTTCATTGTGGCCATGTTTGCAGCAGTTCGGGCGTTCAACCAGCTAGGGCTAAAATTTGAAGATTGCGGAGTGGGGGGACGGTGGAGGAAATGTGAAGTGGTGTGGGGGGCGTAACTGACAGAAATGAATCATGTGTTCTTGGCAATGGGTGTATTTACTTTGTCACCCTTGAAACCGTAACCGAAATAAGCGCGCTCTGTTTACAAGATGTGCGGTCATATCAAAGGTAACGCTGAATTTTACATAATCCGAATGATTGAATTTGTGTTTTTCGATTCTTTTATTTATTGTCCTACACTATCTTAGACCAAACAAGTACCTACAGATTACACATTACGTCACAATTGTACATTATTAAACTCAGTGGTTCTCAAACAGTGTTCCGTGGAACCATAAATTCTGTGTTCCACAGAGACCTCGTAGGTGTTCCTGGGAAAATCTTTAAAGTCAATTTAAATAGATTTTAAAATAATAATACATGAAAAACGAATACGCACTTTCCATTAAAGTCAAGACATCAAACAATGACAAGTTGGACTTCATTGAGTTCCTAGAACCACAGAGGCAAGGCGAATGTTGTATTGTTTTTTAAATGACATGGAAAATAACTATCGTATTGTAGGTCAAGAATCGGTACAGGTTGAAGGAGAAGGTCACACGTTTTGGAAATACGATACTTAACGCAAACTGAATTCATCATTTGAAATAATGACCATTTCAGAGTTCTATGGCCATAACATGGAACTACTAGTTTGACCTGAATTGATTGCGTACTGTTGTACTGTTTTTACATTGTTACTGGGCGTCGTTATAACATTAAATAAAATTAGATGTTTTTAAATTAGCTTTCTAAAAAGAATTGCGTAAGATAGGACTGAAATATCAGTATATTAAAGCAAACAATGTCAAAGCAAAAATAAATAAAATTTATACTTAAAAAAACTGGAGGTAAGTACGCAAACAATAATGGGTAAAAATGTACTGAACGAAGAAAAATGTTGCTATAGAGAAGTATCCTCACACACAATCGGTATCTAAGACTACTAAAGGTCTTTGTGTCTGTAGGTCTGAAAATTTCTACTTATCACAGTCGACAGTCTTATTTACATAGTAAGGGAGTGAGAAGTTAACAGAATATAAATTCTGAAAAGTCAAGGGTCAGGGAGTATTCTCTAAGACTACTAAAGGTCTTGTGTCTGTAGGTCTGAAAACTTTTACCGGTCACAGTCGACAGTCTTATTTACATAGTAAGGGAGTGAGAATTTAACAGAATATAAATTCTTAAAAGTCAAGGACCAGGGAGTATGCTCTGTCAGTCTAGTATGTTGGGGAGGACAACAGAAATGTAAACACGTGATGACGCTAAGTTCATTAACAAAAATCAAGGGAATGGAAGTAGTTTTAATGTGTGTTAAAACAATGCTTAGTTAACAAAATTAACCACGGCGTGGAAATAAAGGGGTCAAAGGGTAACGTTACACTAAGGCCTTAGGAGAGTGTTCTTAAGCCAAAACAGCTATTAAGCCTCTGCGTCCTTTTTTTGTTTTACATTCGATTTTGTGGCAAAGACATATAAATTCTGATCGGTGTTTTTAGCATATGCTTACGCAAACATTTTTTTTGAACAAAACGGTTAATTTACATCTCAACCTCCGAATTATGCTCCTTGCAAAGATGGTTGAGTCTGAAGGTCTTCTAGACAAAAAAATGAATAGGGAAGCGCTGCTCTAAATGCATATCTAGGCAACATCAAGTTTCCAGACGAACCAGAATATGCCTATGGGCCACGAGGAGGGACATCAGAAGTAAACTAATTAGCTACCATTTATAATTACCAGCACAAAACAAACAAGCTCAGGTATTACAGCTAATAAACTGATTTAGGATGAATTCGTGACATTATAATTTAATGAAAACTATTTTATAAGTGGACGGATACGGGCGGCATCTATTTTAACGTCGTCAATTTCTATTGTTGGGACCTGATACCATTCTCAGCTCCATTTTATAAGCTGTTTGCAAAATGACAAAAATCACAGCAGTAAATAATAAAGATGGGGGCTAATGTCCCTTTATTCAGTGCTCATACTTATATGAACTACTCAGTACCCAGTTTCTTGAGTTAATGTAATCACAGTTAGTTCTTGGCGAACAAAGCCCGATTTTCTGCATATATTTACTGTAATATCGGGCTGCATTGAGTGAGCAGACATCAAACAATTTAATTATATGAGCAATAATGTCATTTACAACCGTCCCGTGGGATTTAGCAGCCCTAAAACTTATTGCTTTAGCATCCCAATTCCTCTTGATGTAAGATCTTAATTTACCATGAGAAAAAATCATTACCTCGCCAGTTATGATTCTCAGTACCCTGAGAGGAAAGATCTCTAATAAGTTTTGAGTTAAGAGTTCTAGATTTAAGTATCTCGAGTGTTAAGTACCTCACTATCTTTTGAAATAAGCACTCGTTGACCTCGACAGACGTTCTCCCCTATAACCTAAGGCACGTACGCATAAACTTCGTGCGTTTAATAGTTTTGTGGCATTTGTGAAAGAAACCATAAACATCAGGATAATTTAACACTTACACCTGATATAAACCATATACCTCTTGATTAAGTAGTACACTATGCCTTGTGAGAAAGTCAACTTTATACCTTTTGAGAAGAGCACTCCTAAACTTTGTGAGAATACACCCACCTCTTTTTCTAAACGTTATGAGACAGTAACGACTCTATAATCTTGAAGTAAGCACCCCTATGGCAAGTGAAAAATTCGGATCTTTACATCATGAGATATGCACCCTGATACAATGAGTGAAAAGCACCACTTTAAACTTCGTAAGCAAGTACCCCCTAAACCCCATGACAAAATCATCGCCATGCATCTTGAGGTATATACCTTTGTAGTTCGTTCGTGAGAAAGTAACCACTTTACATCGTGATATAATCCCCCCCCCCCAAAAAAAAAAATAGCCATTGAGACTAAAAGCCATATATAGTTGGTTAAAAGCAACCATAAACTTTATGAGTTAATCACACTAAAAAGTCCCGAAAAACCATTCATAAATCCTTTTTAGTTCGTTCGTGAAAAAGTAACCACTTTACATCGTGAAATAACCCCCCCCCCCCAAAAAAAAAAATAGCCCTTGAGACTAGAAGCCATATATAGTTGGTTAAAAGCAACCATAAACTTTATGAGTTAATCACCCTAAAAAGTCCCGAAAAACCATTCATAAATCTCATAAAAAAATCCCCACACAGCTAGCCCATAAATGTTAACAAGGTTTTTCGGGGAGTAAAGTTTACCTCACTCGCCCTGTTGTTATTAAACATGTGTCCTAAAAAAAAATTTACTTGACAAAGGGGGGCCCTTTTCTTGAAAAAAAAAAAATCAATAACGACCTTGAACTAGTAGTCTTAGTATTTTTATTCAAAACTTTAAAACAACTTGACAAGACTTGTTCCCAGTTGTATTATGTGTGTCATATGATATATGTTATTCTCGTCTGGCGGTTTTTTTTTTAAAGTATGTTCTTAAAACTTGCTTAAACAAGTAACATTTCTCGAAAGAAATCACCTGTTACCTACCGCAAACGTAAAATATAAATATTCAAGGATTCTTGGGCAAGTCGATCGGTCGCACTCTGCTTAACACTTGACGGTACATTCTGTTTCCTATTGAAGAGAGTTAAAGCTTGTCTTGTATGGTACAGTACAGGTAAACGAGCTGTAATTATTTTTTATGTCATTTGATTGTTGTTTTAGAAAACGATTTCATTTTAAATTCAGCTTAATTACAAATTATTTTATTTGTTTTTTTAACCGAAAAGATTTTTAGTTTCAATTGACAGGTCAGTTCTAAAGTTAATTCACAGTCGTTAGAAAGTAGCTGGTTTAACTCTCATTTGAATTATTTCACTGAATATTTTTTTTTTTTTACGAAGGGATGTGAGGTATTTTATTATTAGTATTAAGCAGTAATTTCTTAGTTTCGAGATTTCAAAATCAAACCCAGAAGTGACATAGTTCACATTTAGACAGCCGTCTGTTTCAAACAATTTTGAGCCTTGTATACGATTTGGTAAAATGGTGCCCATTGGCTTACCTCGTTATAAACTTAATGAGCATCTAGATTTTGTTTTTTTTTACTTGCCTTATATGGTTTTCCCAATTACACGAGTGCTTTTCAATCACATAGTCTCTAACACCTTTAGGTTTTTCTGTTGTAACGATTGTTATTTTGTGGGGGGTGGGAGGGAATGGGTGGTCTTTTTTTTAAAATACATGCAATAGATCTGATAATGAAATCTTTGACAAAGAGTGGAAAGATTTTTTTAAAAAAATATTTACGTTTTAGACGAAACATGTTTCATAGTTCTGATGTATTCCTTGTTGAAATTAATTAAACATTATCAAATTTCTTCTGGTACAGAAGCACCATATATTAGATGGAATTCACTGAGAGAGATATTATGTTCAATTTTGTTATGAAAACTATTCATATAATAAAGTATTATTCAACTAAATTTTCTAGATTCTAGTTTCAGTATCTCTTTTCTTTGAAAGTAACAATGCATATTAGCGAGATTCACGGATTTAATAAATTATATAAATCTCTTACCACATATTATACGAGTATAAGTCTCATAAATAAGTAGTCTAATGAAACTATTGGCAGGCTACTTATTTGCAAACAAAATTGAGACATTCAATAATTTTTTTTTATTATTGTCTTAAACAGTATTAGATTTTATGTACACTGTTTTTAAATATCTTAATTGGTGCTTTCATTTTTCCTTAAATGTTATTAAAAAAATATCAAAATTTTGATATTTTACTTATATTTTTTTAAATTCTAGATTTTTTTCTAAAATATGGCAAAAACCACAGCGAACAAGGGAAAGGATATCGGTCTTCTGCTCATCGGTAAAGCTGGAAGCGGGAAGAGTGCCACGGGAAATAGCATACTGAAGAAAAGAGTCTTCGAGAGTAAAGCAGCTATGACCCGTGTTACAAAATGTTTGCAAATGGAACGTTCTACCTACAAGGGTCGTGTCCTCACCGTCATAGATTGTCCAGGAATTGATGATGAGGATCTAGAAGATGAATCAGCTCATTTGTTGGTGAAAGATGAAATGAAAAAAGCCCTTGCGCTCAATCCGCAAGGATATCAAGCTTTTTTGCTGGTTGTACGATTCGGCGTGCGTTTCACAAAAGAGGACCTAGAAATAGTTCAGATCTTGAAATCCACCTTTGGAAATAAATCTTTAAAACAATATTTAATTTTGTTAGTAACACATGGAGATAACTTTGACACGAAAGTAAATGGAAGCTTTAAAGATTGGTGTGCGTCTCAAACAGGAGTTTTTAAAAGCTTAGTCGATGAATGTGGAAAGAGGGTTGTACTTATAGATAACTCAACGCAAGATCCTGCTAAAATTGACAGACAAATCGATCAACTTCTATCAACGGTAGATGGGATGAATGGATCTGGTCCTTGTTACAGACTTGAAAACAATGAAAATCCCAAAAAGAAGAAGGAAGACTTAGCAGCTGATTCAAATCCTTCATTAAATATAAAAGAAACCAATGAAGAATTTACTCTTATCATTCAAAAACTAGGCCACATTGGTCTGGAAAATCCAAAGAACCGTTTACAAGCTCTTGAAGAACTGGGGCAGAGGACGGCTAGATTGATGACCAGACTACTTGAACAAGACAAAGGTTCATGCGAGTTGCAAGAATATATAAGAAATGTCCAGAATATACAAACTGCAATCCAAGTGCAAGTCTCGGTCACTCAGGAGGTCGTATTTTCCGAAGAAATGAGACGGCAGCAACAAGCAGAGATAGAAAGTTTAAGAGAAGATCTGAAGTGTCTAAAGGAACAACATGAAGTGTCTAAAAGAGAGACAGCCAGAAGATTGAATGAAATTAAGCACAAAATTTAAATTACGAATTATGAGTTTCAAATAATTCCCATTTCAAAGAAGGTAATTTATTAAAATACTATTGTAAATTTAGCACCTTAAAAGGGCTATAGAAGAGTTAGAGAGTCCTTTTAAAAATATGTAAATAATTTTGTGTTGTTAAAATTAAAATGTTATGTATATTTTATTAGAAGTGATTATGTGTAATTTTATTATTAATGCAATAATTAACTGAATTTTCTTATTTTTTAAAAGTGTATAAAAAATAATATGTATGTAAAACAACTATCTAAAAATTTGTATATTTTTTTCATGAGTATGTTTTAACTTTATCTTTAATTTTTTTTAAAATGTGTATGCATATTTTTATAAACAGGAGAAGGTGAAAGATCATAACCCAATTATAACAAGATTTACTAAAAGAATTTTCTGAAAGTTATAGCTAGTGCCTTAGTTAAAATACAGATTTTAAGGACATACAGTTAAAAATAAGAATATATTTTATTTAATTTTTTTAAAACTATATTTTATATTTAGGTAACCAATATTAGAACGTGCTCTAGTTTATATGAATTTTTAGGGGAAAAAATCCCTTTTTTCTTTTGTAAATTATTTAATAATAAAAATTTACTGATAATTTTATATCTATAATTACAAGTCAGGTAAAGGATACAATTTTTTAAAGAAAATTAAAGTGGTTAAATGACTACATCGGCCATTTTGTAATAGGTTTTTTTTTAAAAAATAACCAATTTGTGGAAAGCTTCGATATAAAATAAATTAATAAAAATCGTTACAAAATTAAAGTCTGGATTTCCCCTCGAAATTTTAGCTTGCTTTAAAGGGAGATCGCATCTTTTAACGAAGTCCAAAGCAACCCAATCAAAATTTAAATGGACATTGACTAACTGAAAAAGAAATACTTCAGAGCTGTCTCAAAAATTTAAGTCGTTGCGTCGTAGTAGCCTGATGGTGAAAATCGACGCCCTATTAAGCTGTAAAAAATAAATATAAAAACATATCCAAATGTATATGACAAGTTTACTAAATAGCTAACTCTGTCCATATATTTTTTTTAAAAAGTAATAAATTCAACTTTTAATTTCTTTCAGAAAAACCAAATATAACTTTTTTGATTCTTTTGATACTATGATTATTTAATGAATAAAATTAAAAAAAAATAAACCTAGTTCTTGAAATACAATATAACACTCACACGAAAGTATATAGAAAGACTTCTAAAACATGTATCCTACTGCATTAACTTCAATGCTTTTACCTTTAAAAGTAAAGTCAATGTCTGAGGCAAATAGTTTTAACCCAAACACCATAATTCACCAAGTTTGGCTTACAGCGTAATTTTATATTTTAACTATTTGTATTATTTTAATTTGTAAATAAATATTAACTCTTAATTTCTGTAACTAAACGAAAAAATGTTTATAATTTAAATATTTTTTTTATTTAAGTCAATACTGAAAATAGATTTTTGCCATATTTTTTTTTTAACTTGTGTATTTTGGAAGAATTATTAAAATCTGGTATGTGTAAAAGCCATCCACGTATTTTTTTTATTTTTCAATTACCGTGTACGTCAGCCTTTGTGGATATGTTATGAGCTCAAATTTATCAATACACTATTTATTTCCACGATAATACAAAACATAAAATTCAATTTCTGGAAGAAATGGATAAACATACTTTCCAGTTTTCATAATGACTTTCTAACTGAAAGTGAAAACAAATTACAACGCAATAATGATTGAAATAGATGATGTCAATTTTTGTATGCGACTCGCTTATTAATCACCAACTGTTTTTGTCTTGTCTTGTCTTGTCTTTAGGCTTGTCTTTAAATAAATTGTTAATTCCAAATCTAAACGAAGTATTTGTATACATTTATTTGCCAAAATGGTCCATTACAGCAAACAATTTTAATTGTTGTTTAACTATGCTAGTTTGCGCTCTTCATACAAAATTCCTTACAATTTACCCAAAACGTAAAAAAATTACTAATGAAAGCAAGTATAATTTATTTTTGTACAAAGATATTTGCAATGCCTTATTTTAAATGGAATAGAAAATTTACTTATCACGAAATTTCAATAAAGAACAATTGAATCAACATCTATATATATATATATATATATATATTGATTTATTTACAATTTTGATTGTCGATGGCGGTTTCTGACCGTATCCATGTAGTTACTAATCTAATCACATAAGAACAACAACATACCATCGAGACAGAGCTCTTTAGGATCCCCCCCCTCCCCTAAAATACTACCACCTTCCCCAGCTCGACTAAACCTAATCGGCCGGGAAGCGGCACGCTACGAGCACTCCGCCGTCGGGAAAGCCTCACCCACCGTTAACTCGATTGAACAAGCAAGTGAGGCGTCACAGGGCGAGGAGCACCTGTTTGACTGGTGGTGATGCTCTCATAGCACCAGCAATTGAACTTTCTTGCAAATAGGATGGATACATTTTAACGTCCTTAAAATCACCCCTTCCAATCCCGATTTAGCGTCAGACGCCCTCAAATAGGGATTTCTATAAGTGGTTTGTGGTTAGGTCACATCGCAGCTAGGAATAAAAGTTTGCCTAGGAACAGTTCCCTTCACAGGCTGTATAAAAGAATCATTGGCATGGACGTCCACATCCCACCATGCTTTAAATCATAAACGGCAACATGTAATCATATCCCGACCTGTTACTGGCGTTATTGTCAACTGTAACTGGGTACGAACGATGTCGTTGTGCTCTTTCTAACGCAGATACAATGTAATACCTTTGTCTCTGATGCGCAGGTCCCCTGCATGGGGGTGTAGTACCCTGGTCAAAGCCAGGGGGGCTGGTGGCAGCACCTCTTAATCGACAAGCAGTAATGGGACGAATGCCTTACTCGACATAACGATTAGAGCCCCGTGGAGGGGCAAAATTGTAACTTGATTACACGCCCATGGGAAAAAATTATAAAAAGTTATCTAAATGCAAAACTTGATAGAGGACGAAAAGGAGTTTGACGTCAAATTATAATTACTATATGCTTATTCAATTTGCTTTTCTTTTCAAATTGTAAGAACAAATGAGAGAATTCAAACACACACTCTAAAAAAACGTATCAAAACATTATTAATTTATTTCACCGAAATTTTCTATTCACGTCTAGCAATAAATTAAGAAGTTAAAAATGCCTTAACAGATTTGGTAGCCTTTACATATAAACACATTTTTCTAGTTTAGTTATGAACGATTCTGTTACAGACCAGATTAAAACAAGCATTGCTTCTTTTTGACATGAATTTTATTTAAAATTAATTAAAAGACACAAACTTTTTTGTGGTGTTTTTATAGCTTTTGTGTGTGTGTGTGTGTGTGTGTGTGCGTGTGTGTGTGTGTGTGTGTGTGTGTGTGTGTGTGTGTGTGTGTGTGTGTGTGTGTGTGTGTGTGTGTGTGTGTGTGTGTGTGTGTGTGTGTGTGTGTGTNGTGTGTGTGTGTGTGTGTGTGTGTGTGTGTGTGTGTGTGTGTGTGTGTGTGTGTGTGTGTGTGTGTGTGTGTGTGTGTGTGTGTGTGTGTGTGTGTGTGTGTGTGTGTGTGTGTGTGTGTGTGTGTGTGTGTGTGTGTGTGTGTGTGTGTGTGTGTGTGTGTGTGTGTGTGTGTGTGTGTGTGTGTGTGTGTGTGTGTGTGTGTGTGTGTGTGTGTGTGTGTGTGTGTGTGTGTGTGTGTGTGTGTGTGTGTGTGTGTGTGTGTGTGTGTGTGTGTGTGTGTGTGTGTGTGTGTGTGTGTGTGTGTGTGTGTGTGTGTGTGTGTGTGTGTGTGTGTGTGTGTGTGTGTGTGTGTGTGTGTGTGTGTGTGTGTGTGTGTGTGTGTGTGTGTGTGTGTGTGTGTGTGTGTGTGTGTGTGTGTGTGTGTGTGTGTGTGTGTGTGTGTGTGTGTGTGTGTGTGTGTGTGTGTGTGTGTGTGTGTGTGTGTGTGTGTGTGTGTGTGTGTGTGTGTGTGTGTGTGTGTGTGTGTGTGTGTGTGTGTGTGTGTGTGTGTGTGTGTGTGTGTGTGTGTGTGTGTGTGTGTGTGTGTGTGTGTGTGTGTGTGTGTGTGTGTGTGTGTGTGTGTGTGTGTGTGTGTGTGTGTGTGTGTGTGTGTGTGTGTGTGTGTGTGTGTGTGTGTGTGTGTGTGTGTGTGTGTGTGTGTGTGTGTGTGTGTGTGTGTGTGTGTGTGTGTGTGTGTGTGTGTGTGTGTGTGTGTGTGTGTGTGTGTGTGTGTGTGTGTGTGTGTGTGTGTGTGTGTGTGTGTGTGTGTGTGTGTGTGTGTGTGTGTGTGTGTGTGTGTGTGTGTGTGTGTGTGTGTGTGTGTGTGTGTGTGTGTGTGTGTGTGTGTGTGTGTGTGTGTGTGTGTGTGTGTGTGTGTGTGTGTGTGTGTGTGTGTGTGTGTGTGTGTGTGTGTGTGTGTGTGTGTGTGTGTGTGTGTGTGTGTGTGTGTGTGTGTGTGTGTGTGTGTGTGTGTGTGTGTGTGTGTGTGTGTGTGTGTGTGTGTGTGTGTGTGTGTGTGTGTGTGTGTGTGTGTGTGTGTGTGTGTGTGTGTGTGTGTGTGTGTGTGTGTGTGTGTGTGTGTGTGTGTGTGTGTGTGTGTGTGTGTGTGTGTGTGTGTGTGTGTGTGTGTGTGTGTGTGTGTGTGTGTGTGTGTGTGTGTGTGTGTGTGTGTGTGTGTGTGTGTGTGTGTGTGTGTGTGTGTGTGTGTGTGTGTGTGTGTGTGTGTGTGTGTGTGTGTGTGTGTGTGTGTGTGTGTGTGTGTGTGTGTGTGTGTGTGTGTGTGTGTGTGTGTGTGTGTGTGTGTGTGTGTGTGTGTGTGTGTGTGTGTGTGTGTGTGTGTGTGTGTGTGTGTGTGTGTGTGTGTGTGTGTGTGTGTGTGTGTGTGTGTGTGTGTGTGTGTGTGTGTGTGTGTGTGTGTGTGTGTGTGTGTGTGTGTGTGTGTGTGTGTGTGTGTGTGTGTGTGTGTGTGTGTGTGTGTGTGTGTGTGTGTGTGTGTGTGTGTGTGTGTGTGTGTGTGTGTGTGTGTGT